CCCCAAAACCCCAAAACCCCAAAACCCCAAAACCCCTCTGATGCAAAATCTAATTGAATTTAATTAAAAAAACTGTGTTTATTATGGAAAGCGCTGAATGGCCGTCCAGGATCAGACACTACTCCCTCAACTACCCAATCGGGCAGGGAGCATGTGGTCTAGTCTGGAGTGCTACAGTCACTGATGGAGTCTATGAGGATAGAGAAGTAGCACTCAAAATTATTAACTTTGATAAATTTGACAATCTCAACATTGATGAAATCAAAAAGGAGATCAATATAATGTCGGAATATTCACACGAAAATTTAATTTCATCATATGTCTCCTTTATTGATAAGTCAGAGATGGTCATTGTCATGCCACTAATCGATGCTGGATCCTGTGCAGATATTATCAAGGAAACCTTCTCCAAAGGAATTGAGGACGAATCCATTATAGCAGCTATCATTAAAAGCGTTCTTCTTGGCCTTGACTATTTACACAAAAATAATGAGATGCACAGAGATATCAAAGCTGGAAATGTTTTCATCAAAAGAGATGGCTCCATTTACCTTGGAGACTTTGGAGTAGCAGCAAGTCTTAAAACTGGAGAGAAGAGAAAAACACTAGCAGGTTCACCATGCTGGATGGCACCAGAAGTGATTGAACAGTTTAAAGGATATGATTTTTCAGCAGATATTTGGTCCTTAGGAATCACTGCTATCGAGCTTGCTGAAGGCAAGGCTCCTTATGTCGAAATGTCAGCTATGAAAATCCTTTTAGCAATTCTCAATAGTGATCCTCCGTCGATTTCGGATTCGCACTTTTCAAAAGAATTTAAGGATTTTGTAGATTGCTGCCTCCAAAAAGATGCTTCAAAAAGATGGAGTGCTGAGAAGTTATTAAAGCACAAGTTCATCAATAAAGCATGAGACCCAGAATACTTGGAAACAGAGCTACTCTCAAAGCTTCAGGATCTCAAAGAAAGAATTCCTGAATCCCTAAGAATCCAAGGTGAGGAATTCCTCGAGGAGAGAAAGAGAAGAGAGAAAAAGAAAAAATCTAAGAAGAAAAAGACATCAAAAAAGGGTAAGAAGGATGGAGATTCTAAAGGAGGTCCATGGGACTTCGGATCAGGCTCATATAGTGACGCAAAAGCTAAGGCTAAGCTCAAAGGAGAAGAATACGATGCTGATTCTTATGCTAAAGTTCCAGAGTCAACTTATGAAAAACCAAGCAATTACAAGGACGATATGGATGATTTTGGGCTTGATTCCGGTGAAGATTAATCAATATTTGAACACCAAATGTTCTTCCTGAATATATTCTTGTTCTAAATCCCAAGAATTCATTTCTTAACATAATTAAGACGGGAAATTAGTTTCAACAATAAAATAGATACTAGGGGTTTTGGGGTTTTGGGGTTTTGGGGTTTTGGGG